GAGAGATTTCGCAGGTCTTTCCTCCCCACTGCTGTCAGACTCCACAATAAAGACTTTAACTGATCAAACACATCCACAAATGTGCAATAACACTAATGTGCAATAATCTTTTCTGGCATCGTTGTATTTTTACTCAGTTGTATATAGCATTTGTATTCTATTTTTATTGTATTCTAATTTTTGCTTCATAACTTTTGCACTGTCCACTTCCTGCTGTGACAAAACAAATTTCCCACGTGTGGGACTAATAAAGGTTATCTTATCATAACTAACTCCACATGAATGTTAGAGAGACCCATCGATGTTACACTAACATATCTGTATCGCATATCACATCAGTATCGTGATATGCAAGTAGAATGCTGACTTGGTGATAAGCTGGCCTGAATGGGAAATGGAGCGAATGGAGTTGAGTAGGAAGAAGCAATTTATTGTTTTTAACCCTTTGCGGATCCAGGTTTTCTTAGAGTTAGGTTTTATTAAGCCACCTAAAACTCCAGTCAAAGACGTCAGCTATCACTAAGGTGGTTATAAACATTTTCTGTTAAACCAGACTCTCTCCTTCAAGTTTTGAGTATGTGCACACATTACATGACTCTTCATCAACACAAAACAATCCCTGTGAGTGTCCCCTGCTCCAAATGTTGTTATTATCAGATAATGATGATAAAATCGTGATTAGAAATAAATCTGGAGCTTTGTTCACAGCTTCCAGGAACAAGCTGCTCAAAAAAAATCTCCACTGCCCATAAAAGCATCAGATGAAACTGAACATCACCTGGCCCTGTCCAGATGAGGGATTTAGCATCAATTACCATGGTGTTTTAGCAGGTAAACAGAGGAAGCTGACTCGTTAACGCTCTCGTCGTGTTTACGCTTCTCTGATCACTGCTGGATTTAGCCACACGTCTCAGCCAATCAGAGGGCAGCAGCTCTGTACCAGCCTGTTTACCTGTAAACAGTCTCCCCTAGTTCGCTTTTATGCGATCAGATGTGTCGTTAAAATCGACCAAATCATTGACCCCTCACCCCCGAACACGTCAGAGCTTACTGTGGCCCAAAACGAACTAGGTTCCGGTTCCACCTGTTCTCAGGCGTGCTTAAAGCGGCCTCAGCCGTAAAATCAGCAGTTTTCTGATCGGAGTCTGATGCAGTGAAAGCGAGCCGCTCATCAGCGTCGTGATGGATCAAACACGAGCTGCTAACGCACCGACACATCAAATGGTCACGCGCCCGTCAGCAGCAGGGCAATATCTCAGTATCGATCATCACAGTTATTATCGATTAACTGTCCGCTCCGAGCGGCATCAAACAAAGGCAGCTCGTGGCTAATGCTAATGCTAACAAAGGCCCTCCTCACTCACCTTTGTCCTCGCGCCGGTCGGCCGCCATCACCGCCGCTGTGCCGCGCGCGCAGGTACCGCTTCAGGTGAAGGTGTAGCTATAGCAGATTTGTGTGGAAGAAGAAGCTACCGGAGGATCCGAGAGTCAGCAAATGGCGGACTGTCTAACAGCAGCGTCTTCTTCTTCTACTGCTGCTGCTGCTGCCAGCCGACAGGTGAACACCGCCACCTGCCGGGCCGGAGCACTGAGTCTGCACAGGGCACAGAGAGGGGCTGAACAGGATTTTCCAAACCTGAACGTGACCACATCACACAGATAACCGGGAGAAACCACATCACAGAGCATAAAGGTCGCATGTACACCCGAGAACACACCTGTGTCAGAGAGGGGAGCAGTGGCGGTCCTAGCTTGTTTGGCGCCCCGGGCGAACACTCCCTCTGTCCCCCCTATGCATAGTATGCAAACAGCTACCAAACAGCCATTATAATTCGTCATTGAGAATAGGACAAATCAACAATTGACAATGACTAATTAATATTGTGCTGAACACAGTCCAAAAGATTCAGTAAGCTACATCAAACAAACGTAAACAGACATTACTACTATCCCTACTAATTGATGTTATCTTGTTGTATCTCTGTTGTGGCCAGTGCCATCCTCTATGCTGTTGCATGCTGGGGCAGCAGGTTGAGGCTCACAGATGCCAACGAACTACATAAACAGATCCACAAGGCCAGTAATGTTGTGGGGATGGAGCTGGACTCCGTTAGGGTGGTGTCTGAGAGGTAGATGTTGTCCAAGATAAAGACAATGTTGGATAACACCTCCCACCCACTCCATGACAT